GGAATTTTGATTCCAAACATAAAACTCCGCCGTACTGATAAAACTGCACTGCAGCTTGCGTCTTCACTCGGAACCGGATAAAAACCACGACCGAATGCTTCCAGGCGATGTGCCCAGGATTTTCCTCTCATTCACAGCTCATGTCCATGTCCAACCTACCCCCGCCCGGAGGGCCTCCCTCCCTCCCGACCTCCAGGCTCAGTTCGATCCGCAGCTCCGCGGAGACGCTGGCCACGCGGAACGGCACCGTGGCCGCCTCCCGGTGGCGCCGTGGGTGGGTCCGCGGTGCGAGGGGGTTTCGTTGCTTTCGAAGGGCGCCGATAAAGGTCTTCAAACCAAGAGGAGTGAAAGGTGTGAATGACATGCAAGGACCACTGACCAAGAAGGGTTTAGTGACATCTTTTGAGATCGGAGTGACCTTTCAGAATCGAAAGTAGAGGAAGTAGACCTGGCTCGATTTGCACGGCAGAAGATTTGTCACTGATTGGAAGGCGGTTAACACATGTTAACCCAGGAAAAACATATATGGCAAGCACTGTCCTTCCTTCAGGAAACAACACTCAATGGAAGGGAATCCACTGGGTCGGGGGGTCCCTTTTGCGTTGGAGTTTGGTCAGACTTGGTCAACAAATGATCAGAAAACCACCAAAGGGGCCGGGGGGTTCACCGGACGCTGCCCCGAGTACCCCAAACTTGACCGGACCTGCAGCGGGCGAGTCAAAGCGCACATCCGTGCAGTGAGGGCATGAGAGGCCTTTTCAGGCAGTGCGTTTCGTGGCATGGGGGCCACCCCAAGAAAATACACACAGAAACACATCACCTCCCACCATCGCTTCCCCGTCGCCGCCCCTCCGCACCTCGTCGGTGGGCTCCAGTAGCGTGGCGAGGCGCCGCAGCGACGCGCTCTCCGACGGCTGCTCGACCAGCGCCTCCGTGAAGCTCCGGCCCAGGGCCTCGCAACACCGACTGGTGACCGGTGTGGTTTGTGGGTCGGACGTGATGGGTGTGGGGAAGATTTGGGGATGGAACTCGAAGAATTGACCACCAAGTATGGGCTTTCAATGGCTTTCATTCAAATTTTTGAGGATTCTTGAAGTCACCTTCAGTGTTGAGCATTCCGAAGGCGACTTCTTTGAAGATATTAGTCTTAAGCTTGACATGAGGAAGCAACTGATCCACGGGATTCGGTGATGCAAATGCTGAAAGACTTTCTTTGGTACCGGCTGTGAGACGACAAAATGTCTCTACCAATCACCGGCAGGACCTCCCCAAAAAAGTGGGACGAACGCTGAGCGAGGACCCCAAACTCCGGGTCCCATGGAGCTCATGGGCTCTACCTCATCTCCCATCTGTGGGTCTCGGAGTGTCTGTCTCTTGGGTCTTTCTGTCTCGTGTGAAGTCTCCCAGCCGTGGAAGTCGCCTGCAGGCTCCCAGAGGTCTGGCACTCGGCCGCGCTGGACTGTGGCCTTGGCAAGCCGACTTGGGACGAGGTCTCCGGTGTGGAGCACAAAGCACACACCCCAGCCGCGTTTTTTTGGGGGGAATCGGAAGATCTCAGAACTTCATCATGTATCGTTTGAGTGGTTTTGGGATACTTTGAGTGGTTTGAAAGGTAACTACAACCAACAGGATGTTGAAAGAGTGTACATATGCAATTTTGACAATGATCTAGGGGTCTGCGCGATCTCTGCCACTCGACTCGAGGGGTCTGGGAGTTATGTGAGCTCTGGAGGATGGCGGGATTTCACAATCTCAAGTCGCCTGATATCCTCGAACCATTCGTAGTAGATCTGGCTTGGGCCTTTTGTTTGTGAACTTGCATCTATGTTGACCAGCCTCACTGGACACTGGCACGGGCCGCATGTTCTTTGGCTTGATCGAAGCACTTCAGCCGTCAGATTTCCGGGCCATGGTGCGGCTCCAACTGGACTCCAACCGCCTTCCTCTTCTGAGCCTCGTGCAGGGCGACCAGCTGCAGTCGCAGCGTCGGGCAAACGCGCTCCACGTCCGCGTCGCCCACGTCGGTGCGGAGCGCAATGCTCAGCGGAGGACCTGGCGAAGGGTTTCTGGGCGATTCCAGGTAAATCCCTAGTCAACGTGATTGCGTTGTAAGCAGAACATGCTACTAGTAACAAGTGCATCGCTACTAGTTACTAGTAACAAGTGCCTTACTAGTAGTAACAAGAAGCTAGTAGTAACAAGTGCCTTACTACTAGTGCCATGGGAGTGGCCTTTTTTCTGTTGACCAAGCGGAGTCACTTGTTTGCCTTTCACGGTGATGCAAATGCTGCCATGAGGAGGCACAGAGTAAGATTTAGATGACATATGGGGATGAACGTTACAATGCTCGTGTGCACTAAATAACAAAATGGACGACGCTTGCGGCGCTGGTCAGTTTAATTATGGGCGGGCTGACGGGTAAGTGGGCTAGCCCCTGAATGCTGAGCTCTTGGTCATAACATCCCCCCTCAAAAAACTGTTTGGCCTGAATAGCATTAGATAGCGAAAATTCAAAGACTTGGCCTGTAGCAGGAGGGGAGGTGGGAGAAAACACACAAAAAAACGTGACAGTGCAATGTGGTGCAGCACTTGATTTCAATGGGGTATAAAATAAGTGGAGGGTATAGGGCATGAGGTCGTATGAGTAAGAGATTCGCAGAACCCTAGAAAGGAGTCGTTCGTTTGGTCTTCATGGATATGGTCCATGCACAGCATGCAAGCGTGCCATTGGGTCGGACATTGGGTTGCAGAGTGTATGGTCCCCTTTATTGGTTGCCTGTCGATTGCGACCAACAAAAATATGTTTAAGATCGGAAAAAACCATGAACCAAAGAAGACAGTCTTGCTTGGGTCTATTGTTACTCAGGCTTGTGGAAGCTCTTGACCTCCGGAGAAAACAAGAAACACCTGTGGAGGTTGTTGTGGTGGCAACATGAAGGGTGAAGAAGGGGTTTTCACGTGAACAGCTCCAAGAGCTTTGCAAGAACCTCGCCGCATCTCAATGGCCCCCCCAAGCCGGCGACTGTGGCGCTGACGTCTCGTCAGCTCAGCCAGGCCCGAAATACGAACAACACACATGGAGGGAGCACCAAAGTGGAAGAAGTGATCTTCGGTCAGGCCAATCAACTGCAAAGGCTCCTGACGGCATCTTTTGACCAGTCTGGTTTCTCCTGCAATTCTGTATCTCACAAAGTAGCTCCTAGCGAAATTCGGGAGACTTGATATGGCCCCCCCAAAAATGGGCTTTGGTCTATTCCATGGGAGGTCTCCCTAGTTCAATACATAGCCATAACATTTGCTCAAACAAGGTGAGCTCCAAAGAGCTACTCAGAGCTAGTGACGCGCTCCTGCCCCACCCGCACGTCTGCATCCGCGGAGGTGACCGTCGCCCGCAAAAGCCTTGGGTCCAACGCTCACAGGGACACCCAATGCGCTGGTTTTGTTTTCATGACATCCTGGGGCGAGTGGCCCTGGAGTAGAGATGCACACAAACAGCAAACCGAAGACATTCCTACCCCCCAAACAGCAAACCGAAAGGACGAGGCACACATGGGAGGCCGACACCACTTGGATGGTGTGGCTCCCGCTACTGGGCAGCTGGTACTGGCCCTCCAACAAGGTCGGCTCGCCCTCGCCTCAGAACACACCGTCCGTCCAAACGTCCCAAGCTGACACGGCTTTTCCTTGGAAGTCATGGGAATGCAGATTCTGGCTGGATTTTCAAGGGTGCTTCTTCACAACCACGAGCTTTTTGAGCTTCTGGTAACAGGCAACCAGCCAAATCTCCAAGACTGGCAATTATATATTTTTCCATGTCCAGTTTGCGCTTGCATGCACTTGCCTAGATTATTGAACACGCGATGCCTAGGCATGAGATTGAACACCGCAGCATTTGCGGCTGCAAAGCCCTGAAGAGTCCTAAGGGGGACGAATGCTAGGCATTTTATACCTTGCTGCAGTCGTAGAAAAGCTGCGTTGGGCTTGCGCGACCTGTTCTGGATTTGTGAGACCTGCCATGGTGCTTCTGGTTGTGGTGGGAAACTTTGGCTCCATCGGAATGTACCAAGAACACTCTTAGGTGCTCTAATGCTTTGTAGGGTGCATGGTGCATCTCTTCACCCTACCAAAAAACATCCAAAACACACCCGTGCAAACCAACCCCTCCCCCCAAAAAAACCCTGACTTCCGCCACTGGCGCGGCCGCTTCAGCTCGCCCAACGGCCGCCCCGGCCGAAGGCACGCACCCGGAGGATGTTCGGAAGCTGCTCCTGCTGCCAGCAGGTCTCGGCGCCTGGGACGAGACCCAGGCGATGTGGAGATCTCCAGGTGCATCGATGTGGTGCATCGACTTGGTGGGTGGAAAGGGAATACCACCGTGAACGTGGTTCAAGAGCCATCTTTTTGGGAAGCGAAGTGAGGAACGAGCCCTTCTGCGTTCCTCCAAGCGTTCGCATGACCTGCTGGGACTTGAGCGGTTTCCAAAAAGAAGACAGGACCAGTTCCTAAGTTCCACCTCGTTGGAGCTTGACACAGCATGGCGACACTTGTTGTTGTTTTTTTTTCGCGAAGAACATTGCGAGGTCCACAGCACCTGAGGTGATGCATGATGAGGCTACATCCACTATTTGTTGAACGCTAGCAGATTCCATTATTGTATCATCCAGGCTGTGAAGGGATTGATCCATCAGCACTATTGTTGAACCCGGCCGCAGAAACCGAAGGCAACCCATTTTTTCGTCCGTTCCGGTGATCCAGGGCGTCGAACCGAAACATCATGTGGCCATGACTTTGTAAAAGGCCCCTGAGCTATTCCAATATCATCCAATATCCTTCTCCAAGGGTTCACAATAGATAGTACCTCGATTTCCACTACATCCTGAGAGGGATTCTCTCGTCTATCTCTATCCACAAACAACGTCAATTCACTTCTCCTCATGATGTCACCCTGTCACCGTCGCTCCTCTTGTCCCTCGCCAAGCTCAGCTGTGTAGTACAGCTCCTTAGGAGCACACATTGTACAAGCTCACTAGAGAGGGAATGAAGAGAGTGCAGCCAAGCAGAGTCATAAAGCCATTGCAATATCTCCGGCTGCTCCTCTTCTCCTTCGTCACTTGATCCAGGAAGGCACTCCCAATCGCCGGATCCGGTTTAAAGACGCCCGCATTCAGCACATGGTCATCGAGGCGCGCCACGAAGGTCAACAGGAGCAGGTTCAAGACCAACTCCGAGGCCCCTTGGGCACGCCAAAGGAAGGGCAAACCCATCAGCATCTCCGCGCACGCGAGGCCCAGCTTCGGAACCAACAAGAAGAGAAAAGCCGTGCATTTGCATCGACTGCTGCTCACGGCGAGGAAGAGGTGTCCACATTGCCACAACTCCATTTGCATCAATCCAATGAAAACCATCGATGCCACGAAGTGCACGCCAGGTCCACAGAGAAGCTGATAAGAGATGGGTCGCTCTAACGCTTCTTCCCACAAGCTGCCCAAGAAGCATCCCTGGGCGGCCATCACGCACGCCACGACCAGCACTCGTCCAGCTCCGTGGACGTTTGGCTCGCGGTCCAGCACGGCGAGCGCCGCCGTCTGAGGATCGTCGCGCAAATCGGAGAAGGCGTCCGCGCCGCGCGCGCGTGCGCCGGCCGGCGCCACGCTGGGCATGCACTAGGTAAACGCCAGAAGAGGTGACCCTTTGTTGACCTCAAACGGCCCAAATCTGCGGAGGAAAACGTTGTTGTAGGATTTGTAACGTGAACCTGGTGAAACATACTTGTTGCAACAATCCAATCAATGGAAGTGATGAGTGGTCCCTGCAAATGGGCAATGTTTGCTTTGCTCATTCCTAGTAGATCAAACATGTATGTACAGGACATCCAAGAATTCTCGCCACACAAACCTGCACGACTTGTAGTCCCACATGACCACCTTGATGTCCTGGTTTTTCTCCGTTGCCTTGGTACAGCCTCAACAAAGCGTCTTGGACCAGTGCTTGGAAACACTTCCCACTTCAATCAAAGTGCCTGGCGACCTGGGGCAAAGAACAGTTGCGACCTCACGAATATCTCTCCTTCGACCCAAAAGTCTATCCTCCTCCCTTGAAACTGTCGATTCTCATCCCAACCGGAGGTCAAGACTGCCTGGCAAAGGAGCGATGAATTGCCCCTGCACTGTGGGCGGCGTCAAACTCAAGGCAGCCAACTCCACGTTGAACTCCACGCACGTGGTCCTCCGACGGCAGCTGGGCGGAACACTCACGACCGGCTGCCCGGAAAAGCCATGTGGGTCGCCATGTGGAAGGTGGTGCGCCGGAACCCGGTCGTCCCTTCCGAAGGCGGACGGAAAAGAACACCTCAAAGCCACCTACGAGGGTCCAAGATATTTTAGGCTGGCAGCTCAAGTTGTTATGGGAGAATGCAAATGCGATGGACTATGAATTAAACATGGCCATGGAAATGTCTGAGTCTGCAGATGCGTCGTCACTGTTGCTCACTGTTGCTATCATTGTCCTACGATGATTCCGATGCGAGGGTTGGGTTCAGTTTTAGTTTTTCTCCTTCTTTTAACACCTACAACTCAGCCTATCTCCAGATTTGCCTTCCAATTTGAGCTTGGTCAGCATTGACGGAATGGGCGGCTACATACTGCTGTTGCCTGGCTGCAACGTCTATTTACACTTGAATACCAAGGCTTCTTGCTAAGAATATTCTCCATGAATCAGTTTGGCAGGTGCTTGGTTTCCTTAATTAGTACCAAAAGGGGGGGTGGACGTTGTTGTTGTTGCTGCGAAGAATTGCTACCATCACAGCAACCTCCAATGATGGCCACAAGCACAACCCAAAGCCAGGCACCACGGCAGCAGTTCGACTCCGTCGAGTCCTACTGGAGTGATGCCGTGGCACGTGGAAGAGCACCACCTTTTTTCCGCGATGCCGTGGCACGTGGAGTTCGGCGAGGGTGAGTCCAGGGCATCCTATTCCAGGGCATCTGGATCGTTTTGACTTGATCAAACACCTCAAGTTAAAGTGAAACCTTCGCCAGAGGATTTAGAGTATTGTGATGGTTAACAGGCAAAGTGACTCCAGGTGTACCCGTCACATAGATCATGGTCAAATGCAATCACATTCTCGACGGATTGAGATGGACCTTCTTCGAGGCAACAGGTGGGCGTTCTGATGTGTCAATCAGGGCGTGTTTGCATGGTCAATGTTCCTCTGCAGGCAGTTATTTTTGTGGCTTCCAGCATTGAACTCACCTATGTTTGTACCTGTCAACCTTTTGCTCGCGTTCCGAACCTAGGCCTATTCGATAGGACCAGAATCCTCTGGAACCACATGACATCGCCCGGACTTCGCGCCGCGGGTCCTTCGCACCGCGAGTCCTCGGCACCGGAGGAAGTTCCCGCCTCGTAGAAGCTCTCTTTCTTCGCCGGGCCAGCCATGGCGGTATAGCCATTGCCTGAGATGGAGTCTGAGGAAATCATGTCTGATGGAGTCTGGAGCTCTTTACAGGATGCTGTTGATAGTGTCTATGAACGGAACCTTGGTGTAAGCAAGAATTGTCTACACGCTGCAACGTGACCAACTCAGTTTTGCATCATGAACATGACAGCGACCACTGATTGTTGATGCAACATGCTGCAAGTATTCAGCTTAAGTTCGCACACACTAAGTAGCCCTGAAGAGATTGACGCCACTGTGCTGGACTCTGTCACAGGACATCACTGGCCATGGTGGCCCCACCAAGCTCTCGATTTTTCCCGAGCATTGCATCTCAGCCGGGCGGCCATCGGGAAGTGGCTGTGGCTCTCCTAACGGCTGCCCGTTCTCGTAGAATGTCACCTGTGTCGGACCAGTTGGACCGGGCGGAAACGCCCTCGCCGGTCGATCGGTGCCAATGCAGGTGAGCAAAAGTGAGTGCAAAACCGATAGCAGAACTCCAGCGATTGTGAGAGAAAAAAAAAAGGAACTTCCACTCCCCCCCACCCATGTCAGTAAACATCGTGTCAGGGACAACCAAGAGCGACTTGTCCCTTGTCCTAGTGATAGTGTTTTCAAGCACACCTTTTTCAAGCAACAGTGACAGGTCAATCTCCTACACTCGTGGCGACTGTCCGTGGACCACGCTGCTCTGCGAGACATCCCCACCTAATTGCTCTATGGAGTTGATTAAATAAAAAGCAGGGGAAGACTTGGCAAACTCAGATTGGAGATGATTTCACTCGACTCGGCCACACGCGAAAAGCAGTAGAAATTGACATGCAGCAAAGGGTTAGTCGAGAAATGGGCCGTGAACAAAGACCCAAGATCGCCGCACTTGGCCTGAAGGTCCGCTGCGGAGAAGGGTGAAGTGACCTGCCGGCCAGCGTCTCATGAGCGGAAAGGGCACGGAAGAGCGCTCAAAGGCACACATTCCAGAACAATGTCACGACGTGTCGCGACAGCAGCGGCCTTCCCCGCACATGTTGCAGGCACTTTCAAAGCACGCATTCCGATTCTTCCCCAAGCAACACAGCACCTCCAAACAAGCGAGAAGGAACACTTCTTAGCAGGAGACATGCCGGTCTTAGATGACAAATATGACTGTCTTTGAAACATCAATCCATCCAACAAGTTCAACATCCCACTTTGTGTCTGAAAGTCTTAACGCCAACCCACGCCACCGCACACCACACCACTGCAGCCACCGTGGGCCTTGGCATGAAGCACCACGGGTGGCGCATTGCCCTCGGCGGCCACGCCCAAATTCATGGAGGACCGTGCGATGATCTGAAGGCCCTGCGCATCACCCGCCTCAGCCGTCAGCTTCGGTCTACAAGAATCGACAGGTGTCCAAGCTGCCACACAGCCAGTGCCAAAAACGAACACCCGCTGGATCCGCTGGATGTTGGCATCATGACCCAAACAGCCAGTGCCGACATGTGGAGCGTGTGATGGAGTTTCTTGCACGCAATAAGCCACCTACCGTCACCTGCCCTCAAAGGGGCCAACTTACAAACAGACAGCCCCAGGTGGCGGCGGTGGGGATTGTCCGCCAGGTGGGAAGGTCACGACAGCGACGATGATGGGCGTGCCACCAAAACATCTGTTTCCAAAGAGTCTGCTACCTGAGCACACACTCAAACAGGCTCTGCTGTTCATCTTCTAGGTAAGACCTTAGGCCGTGGGGCTTGCGACTTCCCCTTTAGGCTCAGGGTGTTCCAAAGATTCTGATATTCTTCTCTTGCGTTACTTGGGCATCTCATATTATCTTGTAAATCCACAACTGCGACCCCGACCCCCGCACTCCACTCTCCACGCTCGCCGCCCTCACGGCGAGCGTGAAACAAAGCCTCGTGACGCCCTCTTCGAAGGTGCCCGGTGGCCGCGGCAGTGTGATCATAAAGCTCATGGGTTGCGGACGCCAAGCGCTCAGTGGCACCGGCTCAGCCATTGCCTGGCGACGTGCACATCAAGCTTCGGGAGCGAGGGTTCGGCAGAGTGGAATTGGTGGACACTTGAATCAAATGGAGTTTGGAAGCCCTATATTATACATGTTGGGTATTCTAATGAGCTCCTCCTTGTTTGATGGTTTTCAGGATTCTAGATCTCTTTCTCCAGTCCCTGTCCCCGTCATGCTGCGCCCAAAGAGATACTGGGTACCCCGCTTAGCCGAGGGCACGCCTGCAAGTCCAGAATTCCGTTGCCAGCATCAGAGCCACAGCTACCACCAGCCCCCTTGCCGCGAACGGCACCCCGCTGTGGCGAGACGAACGGGGGCAGTGCTTCGTCTCGCGCACCCCCTCCGTGGATGTCTTTCCTGCTTGGAGTCTTGGAGGGCCCTGTAATGGCCCAAAAAGCACATGCGAGGACCATCGGACCATCTGTGAAGAATCCTTGATTTGGGATCCCGAATTGGTCAGACACCTGTCAAAAAGGAAGGGAAATCACAGAACTGAGTGGACCACTACAAAAATTGTTTTTTACTTTGCAATTCCAGTAATCGCCCTACAAAAAAGATTATACAGTAGCTATAGGTAGGCTTGATCAAGTGGAAAGCCAAGTACGTCTTTGAATTGAGACCACTGCGATACTATAAGTCTTAGCTGACATGTACTCACCACTTGTGCACAGCTACTGACAGTCGCCAAGCTGCCAAAGGTTCCAGGAGAAGATTCACCAGTAGCGATGCGCAAGGCCTCAAGCCACCTCAAAAAAAAATGACCGTTCAGGGGTCACCCATGGGCCCGTGGGCTCATCTGACCTCGTGGACTTGGGGGATCCCGAAGGCCTTGTTGAATTCGTCTTCTACCCTCATCTGCACCTGTTGTCCAAGCTCCTGGTGACGCGGGGGTTCTTCCATTTCCATATTTTTCCCAAGCAGACCGCCAAGAAGTTATTGATTCTGGGAGTCATTTGACTCGCATACTAAGTGATCCAGCTAGACGCACACCCACCCACTGGATGCCTGTCTACAGTGTCAAACAGCATGCTTATTTCTCAGACACTTCGGTTCTTTCAGTTTGTTACGTTTGTTACTAGTAGCGATGCCCTTGTTCCTAGCTTCTTGTTACTAGTAGTAATGCCATGAGCGCCCCTAGTAGCTTCTTGCTAGTAGCGATGCCCTTCCTTTGTGTCCCAGAAGTTCCTTTTTTGAGTGTCTCTTCTCCGATTAGGCGGCTGTTTGGACCTGGAAGAGAAGCAGCTTGAAGAACTCACCTCACCCATCTCCACCAGGCCAAACAGGTCCACAGACGAACAAACTGATCATATGGACTCTCCACAGTCATATGGACTCTCATCATGGACCGGCCGCTGCGTCTGAACCATCACACCGTCCACCTCACACGCCCCACCCGCCAACGGAAGAAAGGGTGCAACCGGGGCGAACCGGCGAACCGGCGGCCTGTGGGCATCTCCAAGACAAAGAGCAAGGTGTAGTCCCCCGGCGCCAACTCCACGCTGATGCTATGCCGAAACTCCCGACCTGCAGTTGATCAAACCAAGTGGAAAGACGTTGGACTCCGTTGGACCTAGGCAACCGGACCGATGTCCCGGTTTCCCTCGGAAGGACCGACCCAGGTTGGGAAGGACCGACTCCAAAGGAAGTGTTAGGAGTCGCATGAAAGCTGGATGTGAGTGGAATGGGACTGTTTTCAGGATTGGGTATCAAGATGCATGACAGGGACACACTGAGAACACCCTGCAGAAGCACAACTTCAGTTACAGACCTAATGATTCTCGACTCTGGAAGGAGTTGGCAAACGCTCAATTTTCTAAGGTTCAGTCTTTTCCGCACGATTGCAGCACTATTTGACTACGCTTCACATTCACATTGTATACGCCAACTGTGTTTCAACCCAGAATTTCCAACAATGAAACGACACACAGGCTTCTGGAAACATAGTCAATAGTTCTTCAATTCATGTTCCTTTCCATCAATTCTTCCTTTTTTCCCAACACCGTCCCCTTCCGGCACCGTCCGACGTTCCCCGCACCTCGCGACCCCCTCGCGACCCCACCTGCGGCGGGGATGCGTCGCGTGGGGAACTCCTGGGGCTTTGCCAGCGCCAACCACGCCTCCTCGCGATGACCTCGGACAACCCCACAGTTTCTGCCGGAAAAAGGGACATGTCGTGCGGAAAAGAAGGAGTGAGAGTGGACTCAGCAGTACAATGGATGTTGGAACAAAGGTGTCCAATGGCAACTCATGAGGCGGAGGTGGATAGGTAGGTGACCCTTAGACTAAAAAACCTGTGGCCTTTCAATGGGGAAGGTCAACGAATCACGAAAGCAGGCTCCTGAGCACCCCCGCCAGGCACCAGCATCGGCCGCGCAGGCACTGTGGGCGCATGTGTGGTGAGGCGAAAAATGGAAGGTTCAGTCACCTGCGGTGGACAGGGAAAGAGGTCGGAATCCACACGAGATCGACAAAACGAGGTCATGGACGGCATGTGAACGACATAACGACTCATAACGATAAGGGACAATGTGGTAGACTTGCACGCATGCGGAATAACTCTTGCAGCTCTTGTAGGACGATAGGACTCCGAAGTGAAAAAGACATCATGTTTTCCATCGAAAAAGTATAAGTGCTGCTTGCATATTGACAAAAAGTATGCTTGCCTGTGGCCTCGCACCCAAATTCGGGTCTAGTCCACCTACATGTTTCCTGCATCGTTTCAGCTTCCGCTTTGCCCAGTCTTTCCACACCTGGATTTCCAGTGCGTGCAACCCGCCCAACGAACCGGCCGCGGCGGCGGACTCCCCCTCGCCGCGCTCCGGCGGGCGGGTGAGGTCGAAGAGGTCGCGCAGCGCGAAGCGGCGTTGGCGCAGCACCTGGAGCCTGCGGATGTCTGGGATGTGTGAGTGTTCCAAGGCGGATGTATCAAACATGAATGTCAGGGTCATAGTAATTATATCATATGGCACATATATATATATAAAGTATATTATAGTATCATAGTGTATATCAATCATAGTATATATCCGCCTTGCGCAAGTGGCGCGCCCGACCCCTTGGTTCGATCATCTATTCAATAGGTCCTTTAACATGCCAATGGATTCTTTCAAAGGACGTTTGAAACAGAAGTTGCAGTGATGAGCCCAATCTCATCTACGTACCCACTGCCACCCACTGACACCAAGCAGCTCCCCTGGATCTACAACTTGGCTTCCCTGGTTGCGCTGCTCCTCAGTGGGAGGTCGGTGGCCCAGGGGTGTTCCATCTCAGAACTCTCTGCCACCATCGTGTTCGTCACAAGCAGCGTGTCGCGTGTGCGGTGAGCTTTAAAATGAGGGGCTGAAGGTGCAGGCGGATGCACACCCAACATGGTCTTGCCCGCCAAAATCCCAAAACCATCCAAACATGTAGCCTCACCTCAGTATGACCGCTACCCAGCTGCCACAGGTCTTCCACTCCTACCTAAACGTTGGACCCTCCAATCTGCAGATTCCAAAATCCCTCCCAGCCCCTCAACCTCAGGATCGAGTGGACTCGACTGATCCCAGAACTTCGGTTTTGATTCCTTTTACTCCACCTGGAAGTCACAATCCACTATCATAGAGGTCAAATTTAGCTCATGACTGGACTCGACTGAGTCGAGGTGACCACGTCGCACGCAGTGCTTCGGACCCTTTGGCCAACTCGCCAGGCATCCAGCCGTCTGGGCCAAGCGCCGCCCTCGCAGAGCCAGGCCGGAGGCCCTAAGAACTCCTGGACGGGCGGAGGACGGGGGACACCATGGACCCCTTGGAGCCTTCGTGAAAGTGTGAATTCGGGTGACCTGGTTGGGGGGGAAATTTCTTCAAAGTAGGGGGTCATATGGCAAAGTGCGTCCTCATCGTTGGCCACACAACATGGTCCCATACCACACATATAGAAGACCCAAACTTGGTGGAGGGGGAAAACTGACACCCAAGGACTGGTGATGGCAGTCATCGTGCACCATCTATGATAAGCCCCAAAAACATGGTGGATACCGTTGCCATCCGTTGCCTTTCTCCCTCCTTTCAGACTTCTAGTAACAAGAAGCCAGTAGGTTGGAGGCCATTACTACTAGTATCAAGGACACTACTAGTAGCTATTTGCTCCTAGTAGTATGGCCAGGAGCCACTAGTCAGTAGCTTCTTGCTACCAGTAGTGATGCCCTTTGTTCCGATCAGCAAGGACGCTAGCAAAAATGACCCAAAGTTTCGATCACTCAGACTGTCACTCCATCCGGAGATGGCGCCCTCCGCACACCGCGGTTTCGCGCGAGTCTCGAGTCCTGTGCGATGCGCTGGGAAGCCAAAGGACCTTGAAACAGCGCTTCGGTCAAGAGCATTCGTCCAAAACACAAAGAAAGACCAAGAACCACAACTGATTCCAGGACCGAAACTCGGATATGTCCCAATGTCTGGTGATTCATAAACTTACAAGCTGCGACGTTCATGCCACTCATGCGGGGCCGCTTCATAGGGAACGACCGTCGATTGGAGCGGCTATTGAACAAGATTGATATAAAAAACCCAATGCTCAGCAAGAGGAAAAACACGTATACAACAAGGGCGCCACTGACATTCAACTCATGATCTCAGTGGCAAAGACTTGAGCAACTAGCTTAGCCGCCAAGCTCCGTTGCAGCCCAGCTATATAGACAATAGATATCAATAGATGTGTCATTAAAGGACAGCTTTGGACATCCGCTTCCTTGTGAGACACACCATGTGAAATCATCTGACGACCTCTTGTTCTGAAGGATCATGTGGTCTTTGGATCTGGTGAAATCCAAATGCCTTTCCAGCTGGGCGTGCTGCCGAAGTCAATGCCAAGCAACGGAGGTTGAGCTCGAAGTCGTAATTCGCACAGTGTCCACCCGAAATCCCACTGCCGTCGTGGTCCTGCAGTCTGAGTCTTGTGGGTGCTTTTCGGACTTCAAGGGAGCTGTTAGCTGTTAGTCAGCTAGTTGGCTAGCTTTAAGTTTTCACTGTTGCCAAAGTCTGGCTTTAAGTTTCCCCCATCGGCAGAAGCTAGGATCTTCTCGATGTTTCTTCCAGTCTTGCAAGAAGGAGGAATATGTGGAAGCAGAAATAACATCTTGAAAGAAGCAGAAGGGCAATCTGATTTGCGTGACGCTGTGTCCATCTCAAAACCCTGATATGGAAAACCGGCTCGCCGATTGCCACGGTTCATGTGTCATCTGGTTGGTTGAACAGAATCCACCAACAATGGTCCACATATACCACCCCAAATTGGTCAATCTGTCCCTTCATGTCACCTGTTGGTTCTGAAAAAGATAAGAACTGCCGTGGTCTTGCTTCTGAAAGATTGAATTGGAATGAACTGAGTATATAATAGGAAAACCATAGATGGAACATTGGAAACCAATGGAAACCAAAACAAAACCATAGGAAACCATAGATGGAAAACCATAGCAAAACTAGAAAGCAATGAACCTTGGAAAACCACTCTCCAACGATTGGTCAACAAAAACCATCGATGCCCACCAGACAGACCGTACGACCGTACGGCACATCTGCTGCTGAACCGGGCGACGTCGGCCAGGATCCAAATGGCGAAAGGCATGGCCGGAGGCAACAAGCGCTGTACCACCTGCAAACGTCACTCGCAGTTGAATGGATGGAGGGATGAAAGATGGGGACACACCGGTGTGTCTCATACTTGGGCCTTGCGATCTGTTGGCAGTCTTGCATGTCTTGAAAGGTTCATCAGTTGTCATATGAATACCTCTCAGGTCTCCAACTCGCATCACGTGATTCCAACTCATCACTTGAAATCAATCAACATCTTTAGATCAGTTGTGGAAGTTGTCCCGCTTGCTGGTTTGGGCAAGCGTCATGACCATGTGGTGTTTCAAAACAACCGAGTCTCCATGATTGAACATTCAAACCCTCCAGAAACATGACAGTGCTTTAGTTGTGCAAACCATGGTGATGCAGCCGTGTGACAATGGCCGGGAGGGGTGCGAAAACACATCCTTTATAAGGGATCCTTAAGCGCAGCACATCCTGTCTAGTAACATGATCAGCAGCCATTGCCTTTCCCAACAAAAGTGCACATTTGCCCGGGACTCCCCCGACCCGAGGCCCCACCCCACCTGTCCGTATGCCGAAGCTGTTCCAGTAAAGCAGCGCCTCACCGGATTTGCATGGAGGGGGGCGAGGCCGGTTTAAAGACAAGGAACCATACCCCCGAAACCCCAATGTGTGCTAGCTCTCGATTCATTTGGTTCTTGTGGGCTTTTGGTTTTGAACGATCTTGATTGTTTTGCCTTGATCACCACAGACATTGATACCAAATATTGCAATGCACATCCAAAAAACACATTGTTTTCAAACCAAAAATTGTCAAACATTGTGGTGTCTCAGTCCATGTGCAGTGGAGATGAGGAACTTCACAGCAAACCTCGGTGCCTCGACATTCCCGGTGCCTGGCCTCAAACACTGTGGCTCCTCTCCAATGGCCACCCAAGGTTGCAACTCCTCGACGTGTTCGAAGACGGATGCTTCCAAACTCCCATCGTGATCGAACGATAGATGTGGATTTGTTCAAACCACGTCCCCTACTTTGCTGCGCACAATCGCTTGAGGGTACCAGGGGGCATGCGGTGTGACAGCGACAAAAGTGCGCCGTGCACGGAACTATTCATAGATCTGTCCCTTCTGCATTCTTGGCCACTGCCAGAACAGCAACAAATTCACCGTGCATCAATCCTACGTTGAAGGTCTGGAATCCGCCGACCCTGCCCTAGCTATAGCCAGGCAGGGCGGTGCCCAGTGCAGATGTGGAGCTTTGCCCAAAAAATATCTCAAATAGGCTTTCCAATTGCCGTCTGGCACGATTTTGTCCAACCCGCCAGACTTCTGTCTGGCACGCTTTGCCGTCCAGCCTTCAAAACTGCATCCAGCACGGTTTTCTTCGGCTTCAAAGCCCTCTGTGGGCATGCGTGGTCCAGGAGACATTGCTGTGTCTGCCGTCTTCATAGGAGATGTTGTTGTGGCTGTGGAGGTGCCCAAGCTGGAAGTGTAAGTGTTGTTGTGGATTTGTTATTCTACGAGCTAGCCTTGGAGGCTGTGGCTGTTCATCTGGAGGTGGATCGCCAAAACGCATCTTGATAGTCGTCGTAGTAGGCTACCTCTGGGTGTAATGATCAGAAGTTCTAGTGAGGAAGCGGCGGTAGCCTTTGTTTTTGTCGGTGGCGGCTTGTTAGTTCTTTGTGAGTTTGCGTTGGAGCTGGATCATTTCTCGCCATCGTGTCAAGTCATCGTTGCCTTTGAGTTGGAGTTAAAACTGGGTCTTTTCATCAACTTCGGATTGACTCTAGAAGAAGCATGCTTTCCAGGCTCTGACACTCCACGGCTGCCATATTGCTCAGCTTCACGAGCGTTCCCATTCTTGGACGTAGTCGGGGAAGTCCCGGTTGTGTAGCTGATGGTAGGCAAAAAGGCGTCGAGACTGACCCATGCTCTGTCCTGAGCATCCAGGTAGTGCTTGCCAAGGAGAACAAGAACTCCAGTCTCATAGCCCAGCTGCATCCAAGCAAGCTGCTTCAACTCCGCGGTAGGTTCTTTCTTGACATGCTCCTCCATGGGCCTCACGTCCGACTATGGTGGGTTGCATAGCCGGGTCAAAAGCGGACTCACCAAGACGTGCAATGATTGCTGCACCGGTTTGCTCCACACCAAGTCAAGTCAAACGCAACCAACTGTGGATGAGGTCCCGGTATTTGGGAAGTCCTGCGTGGCCACGAAGAGAGAGAGAGAGAGAGAGAGAGAGAGAAGGTGTCGTACAGGTGGTGTTGAGTGTTAAGGAAAAGTTGAGAAGGACGCCAAAGGAATCAGTGACTTGCCCGCCAGGACCACCAAGCGTAGTCAGGCGGCGGCCACGATGATCTAGGTGCTGGTGTCCAGGAAGCTCTATGCCCCATCTGGTAATCGATGAGGTCGTGGATGTAGGTCCTTTGGGGCACGAGCCCATGCGGAATCGGCTCCGAATCCGGCTCCGCTACCCAAAATCAGAAAACAGTTTCAGGATGAACCCAATGAAAGCGTGTGATGTGCACGTATGTGAATGCAAACAATGTGTCGAATGACAACTCAAACAAATGATCGAACCGGCGATGGCCAGCACTATCTTTATCAATCTTGAGCCAATTCAATCCGTGAGACAATGTAGTGATTCCTGACGATGCCGACTATCCTCTGTGTTCCTAAGTTCCTGGCAGCGTTTGGGTTAACTGGAAGTGAGATTCTGAGCTGTTCACCCCTCAAAGGCCACATCACCTGGAAAACCCAAGAAACCTCCGGAGGTAGAGGATAGATCCACCACGTGTGTCGGATACCGTGGACCCTCAGCACTGGTAGAAGGACAAGTGACATGAAAAAGGCGCCCTTGATTTTGTAACTCGTCCGTAGTCGTATACAGCCGTTATCTATTGGGCCAAGGCATCCTAGTGCTTTCTCATGTCCATCCATCGTGGACCGTCGCAAACCGCGGGGCACCTCGATAAGGATCCGCATGGGATGCACCATGGAGGGAAAGCTGAGGCGCGCATAGAGCCTCGTTGCACCGCTTGAGATGAACTCTTCCATGTATCCCACTGGTTGGATATGGTTAGAGGTTTTGCTGCATCCAAGGTATTGATCCAATTGAAAGAAAGGCAACATTTTGCGGATGGTGGCAGAATCTTCATCTTCATCACAGACCGTTCTTATTTTCTAGTGGTGCTCGGTCCAAGTCCCCAAGCCTTTGCCATTTGCAGCGCCCACCCAAGACAGGGGGAGAAGCCGGCTTCTCCGCCATGGAACGGTCACCTCCCGGTCCACTCCATGCGGAATATGCCGTGCTTTTCTTGTTTTGGCCCTTCAGCAAACATCGTCTTTGAGGTGCCTGTGTTCCCACCTTCAAAGCAAGAACTTGGAGGCTTCCTTTTTGGTCTGCAACTTCTCAAAGTCATGGAGCCCCTATGAATCTCATGTTCGCATTTCCAAGGGACAAACGGACAAACCGTTCAACGCGCGTGCGGCCGTGAAGCCAAACGTTCGGTACCCACGGATGCACATCCGGTGTTTCAACCCCCTTCCGCCATGGGTTCCACGTCATGAATTCATCGGGCTCAAGGCGACGGTGGAGATTGGTGTTGCTTGGTGAAGAAACAAACTGGTAATAACAAGAAGCTACTAGTAACAAGTGCATCGCTACTAGTAACAAGTGCCTTACTAGTAGTAACAAGAAGCTATTTGAAACAAGAAGCATACTCGTCTAAGTCTTTTGACAACAGGCTTGTCAGCCGGCTCGCAAACGGAACAGACGGTGGTCATACCGTCCCGTATGGAGCAAGCCCTCTGTATCCGGGTTCAACAATTCGTACACACTTGTTGAAACAAACATGGAAGTGAACAATCCACTGGTCGTGGAAAATAGTGTTCCAGCAAACTATTGTCCACTTCCATGATTGGAGGGAGGGTAAGTCTTCTCTTCGACCGAGTGAGCTAAGGACCTTCCCATCGCCGCGAGACCGGTTGAAGGTGTGGGGTGCTGCTGCCGGCAGGGCCGCTTTCCAGATGATGCCGTTGGGGGGCCTTGGTCACGTGGTCACCGTCGGCGCTGACGAGAGTCAGTTGGTGTTTAAGGTTCCCACGAAGTCAATGCACTGAGTCAACTGTTCATTGAAGATCAATGAATAAACAACGACTGGTTTAAGTGCTCATTGAACCATATTGAACCACGAAAACACTGCCACCAAAAAACCAGTTGTTTCGGCAACTGAGGAATGCCATGAACTAAAGCAAACCAGGTTCCTGTTCTGCGAAATGACCCGCCCCCGCAGTCGCGCTCGCAACCTGGCGGGTACTGAGACGCCGTGCAGGGGAGGAGAAGCGCGTCAGCGGAATCTGGAGGCTCGAAGGAAGGGCGATGATGCCCCTATTTTCATTCTGTAGATTGGAGGCCATTGCTAATAGGTGGGAGGCCATCGGTAGTAGGTTGTAATTATGCACGCATGTCAAGGTGAGGTCGAGTCAAACCGCGCAACTGCTCACAAGACTACGCACCATGGAAGAGTGCAAAATCCGCAGGTCGCATAATAGTTCGCCTTCTAGATGTTTGTTCAACCTACTTCCTTCCTTCGATGCTACAGCGCAGCATGCCCCCTACTGAGATGACTATTCTACAAGTGCCACAACCCAATTTCGCGAAGCCAAGGCAGGGAACTTCACCCAGCTGAACGCCACTCCCAATTCCTTCCGTCCCAAGTGGCCGACGCTTCGCCCGTCCTGGCGAGGGAGAACCACGGAGGAGGCTTTGGGGGAAATGCGCTTGCCTCGTGAAACATGGAAACACCCAATTCCAGTACCCCTCAGCAGAACTCTTGAAAGTGGTTGATTCGTGGAAAGAAGACGACCACCTTTGGACCACTGACCGGTCGACCCCGCTCCCGGACACCGTGAGCAGCGGCGGCGCCGCGGCCGGCAGCGGCGCGGCGAAGCAGCGGCGCGCTGCGTCGCTGGCCTGGGAGACGGCCGAGACACAAAGGAAGGGCGTCTTGCTACTAGAAGCAAGGACGCTACTAGTGGCTCTTGGCCTTACTACTAGTAGCAAATAGCTACTAGTAGCTTCTTGCTACTGGTTGCGATGGCCTCCAACCTAATAGCGATGGCCTCCACCTAGTAGCTTCTTGCTACCTGCTTCAGGGGGCCGGATACATGTGGTCACTTGACCGACACTTTTGGGGCTTGCGCCACTTAGGCGCCAACACCTAATGGGGAAGTTTTGGGGTTTTGTTGTTTTGTGGCCGTAAGGTTTAGTAAGAAATTAAGGTGCTTAGGGGGTTTAAAGAGTTGAGGGATTAAGGGTTTTAGTGGTCAAGGGGCTCGGGTTTTAGGGGTTTAGAGGGTTCAGTGGTTTTAGGGGTTTAAGCTTGCTTAAAGATCTTAATGGTCCCACAGAAGAGAGGACATCAATTTAATGATTGTGATGCATGGGACTTGCCCAGGGCGCCAACTGTGTTGGCGGATCCCCATTAAATGTCCCTCAACACCCTGAAAAAACCGGATCCTGGACCCCCGGGTCATTCTCTCATTCCCCATCTTGCCTTCAACCTCATTCACCAAAACAGCATCATCCACCCTCAATCACCCTACCACGGCTTGCGGCCTGCTGTGAGCTGATCTCCAAGTCCAGCCGCAGTGCCACACAGTGTCCCGCGCTTCCGCCCGCAGTGTCCGGCGAGCCGGCCGCGCGGAAGGTCAAGGTGAGGGCGCCAGGAAGCTGGATCCTGTGGTCGGCCGCATGCGGTCACGACGCCGGTGACTTCCCCAGGCGTTTTGGCTGAAGGAGTGCAGTTGTGGGGTGGGGTTGCGTGCATCACGTGGGGCAGCAGTTTTGGGATGTTCATCCGGTGTTCGGGTGTCCAGAAAGTGGAAGGTGTTGGAGAAAGACTCGTGAGATCAACAAATTATATAGTGATGGGTTGCACTATATGGTTCACTCACTTCCCCAACCAAACAGAATCAACATGACACCTCTTAGTTTTCTACTGGATTAGCCGATTGGCCCAAGACCTTATGAGTCGGGCAGTGGTGTCTTGCAATGTTCAGGCTCCATAGAGTCAGGGACTTCATCCCCACCGTTCGATTGGTCAAATCCTCTTTTGTTTCCTCCTTGCTCCCAGTAGCTATTTGCTACTAGTAAGGCCAGGAGCCACTAGTAGCGTCCGATCGCTCCTAGTAAGGCCAGGAGCCCCGTTTGTCCATCCTCCCCGGGTGGACGTTCGACCCCTTGGAAGAGGGCAAAGTACCAGCACCATGGAGTTCGGGTGGTTTATAGACACACAAGAAACGATGCATTTTCCGTCCAATAAGCACCCTTTCCGTGGTCCTGGTAGATGGCCTATGCTAATTTGCAGAGGTTGCAGGGTTGGATCCTGTCAACGTGTAAGATCATCCAGAACCCCACGTTGGTTGCACCACGGTGGACATCCGTGCATCCTTTCCGGGCTGCTTTTTCTCCTGACTTTCTGCACTCATGAGGAGCCGGCCGAACTGGAAGCGTTTCAGGCTTCCTGGCAGAGTCATTGGTTCTACTTTCGAGGAGCCATGGGCAAAGCTGAGACTTTGAAGGCCATTGGGCCAAAGCACTTGCTCCATCTTCTGTGTGAAATCTTCGCCAAAGGTTAAAGACTCCAGGCTGTCAGGCAAAGAGACCTGATCCAAAGTCTGGTTGAAATGGCAGCCAAAGGTGAGCTTCTGCAAGCTCGGCCAAGTGATCTGCTCCAAGGGCTGATCGAAGTGTTCACCAAAAGTCAAGTTCTGAAGCCGACGGGGTAAAGTGACACCAGCCAAGCTTTGGTTAAAAAAGAAACCGAAAGTCAGGCTTTGGAGGCTGTCAGGGAAATTCACATGCTCCAGACTCTGGTTGAACTCATAGCCGAAGGTCAAACTCACGAGGCTGCAGGGTAAGGAAATCCCATCCAAAGATTGGTTGAACTCCTCCCCAAGGATCAAACTTTCAAGGTTCACTGGCCAAGTCACCTGCTCCAAGCCCTCCTCGAAAGGATGGCTCAACGTCAAACTGCGGAGGTTGTCCCAAGAGAGGCCCTGGAGCGTCTGATTGAACTCTCTTCCAAGGCACAACCTCTCGAGGCTGGGCCAAGGAATCTCTTGCAACTGCCGGTTGAACTTCGCACCAAAGGAGAGGCTCCGGAGACGTCTGGGCCAAACCACTTGGTCCAAAGGTTGATTGAAGGAGTTGCCCAGAAAGAGACTTTCGAGGCCATGAGGCCAAGCAACTTGATCCAAAGGTTGGTTGAACTCTTCACCAAAGCTCAAATAGGTTAGGTGATCTGGCCAATTCACTTCCTCGAGGGGCTGATTGAAATGATGGCCAAATGTCAGGCTTCTCAAGGTCATTGGGAAAGTGAGCCCTTGTAAAGATTGGTTGAAATCACTGCCGAACATCAATTTCTGGAGATGCTCAGGCAAAGCTGCTCCTTGCAATCTCTCATTAAAATCAAAGCGCAAGGTCAGGCAATGGAGGCTCATCGGCCATGTCACCTGCTCCAAAGTCTGGTTGAAACGATAACCACGCGTAACTCGTGCAAGCAAAGCTTGGCTCTCCTGATCACAAGCAGCTTCGAATGTGAGGCTTTGGAGACTTGTAGGCCAAATCATCTGATCCATTGTCTGGTTCCAGAAGCCAAAGGTCAGACTCACTAGGCCCTGGGGAAAGCTCACTTCGGTTAAAGCTTGGTCGAAGCTAAAGCCAAACGTCAGGCTTTGCAAACTCTCAGGCAGTCTCACGTTGTCGAGTCTCTGATTAAAATCCCTGCCAAACTTCAGCTCTTCCAGGGTGCTCGGTAGCACCACACGCTCCAAGCTCTTGTTGAACTGCTTGCCAAAGGTCAAAGTCTTAAGACTCTTCGGCCACTTCACCATCTCCAAGGGTTGATTGAATTCATCTCCCAAAGTCAAGACTTGCAGCTTCTCGGGCCAGCTCACCTTCTCCAGGCTTTGATTAAAGTAGAAGCCAAAGGTCAGAGTCTGGAGATTCTTGGGCAAAGCCGCTCGCTCCAACGTCTGGTTGAAATACTTATCAAAGCCCAGGCTCTCGAGACTGAGCGGCAGTCCCTTCAGCTGACTGAGCCCCGAAATCCCCTCTAAGCGAGTGAGTCCCTCCAAGGCAAAGCACTTCTCGTCCGCTCGAAAACGGGAAGCTGTCCAGGAGAACGATAGAGCTCGCCAGGCGTCCTGTAAACTGGTGGGTTCATAGAGATACGACACCTCCGTCAAGTCGCAGAGCTCCTGAGCGACGGGCTGCTGAAGGCGCCGCGGGGCGGGTTCGACTGAGTGATCCAAGAGTGGTTTCACCGGCGGGTAACCAGTGCAGGAGGATTTGAGGTGTCTAGGTGTCTACGCAACACACACACACACAATTACAATATGAAATACCACATTAAACACCTCGCACTACACTAACACCCATCGCATGACATCAATGACCGAATCTGAACCAACACATGCACCACGCACGTTTGACCATTTGACCGTATGTCATATCGTTCGATCTTGGGAACCCATGGCCCGAATGACTGGCAGCTGTCGCTCCTTCTGCTTGGAAATCACTTCAGATCCGTGGAGTACCAGCACTCGACAGCCAGCCTTCGCCAGGCCCAGTTGGCCAGAAATCATCTGCTGCAGCTGCAGCCCGCTGAGACCCTTGCATTGCGGCAGCCGCACGACCTCGCTTCGCCCATCCAAGCCGCGCACCTCGAGCGGCACGTCCGGCGAGGACGACGTGCCTTGACCCATGGCGGACGTTGGACGTTGGACGAGGGGCAATGCGCTCAAGGGCCCAAGGGCTCGAGCTACTGGAGCCTTGTGTCGAGCTGTCGAAGTCATCAAAACGAAGGAAAACACCAAAACGGCACCGGCCAAAGGACCCAAGGGTTCGTAGTGTTGTTCTCTGTCTTGTTGTTTGCTTCATGAAGATCCAGTAGAGTTGACCACCACGTTGACCGCCGTGGGCGTAACGTGGGCGTGACCTGGACACGCCGCTTGCGGCGTCCTGGAGAGGCTGCACTGCTTCATGTGTCCACCGGCACCTGGCACTGGCAACGAGTTTGGCGGGCCTCTTCGAGACGGTCAAGACACGTTTGGGATGTTTTCCTCTGCGAGCTGGAGTTTGAGGATCTGTTGCATCAAGGAGTCGCGTTGGCACGCTTGGGGAGAAGACTTGGAGGTCCTGCAAGGCCAATTTTGTCCATGACTCTATGGTCAACAGCATATATTTAGCAGGATAAGCACACGATGAACTCTAGAACACCACGCCAATGTCAACCTACCAGGCATCAATACAATTAGCCTAGGATCGTACTGTCCTTTACCAAAGACTTCAAAACAAGTTGCACCAAATCAACACATCGAAAGCTCTGGCCCTTGCAGAGTCAAAACCCACCGCAATGCGCCGCTGCCCCAAATGGACCAACAAAAATGCGGAATCCTTCCAACCTCTTACAAAGAATGGAACAAGATGCACGACAGTTGCTGGTGAACTCGTACTTTTACCCATCGTTCGCAAAAGCCTTGCGGTACACTCACTCTATGTCGACGCCATCCCGTAACTGGCCGCTTTCTTCCAGGGTGCCCCAGGTGTGAGTGCATTTCAGCGTTCTTGGGCCAAAGGTGGCCTGCGAAGCGGAGCGATGACAAGGACCACTGACAAAAAGTACAAAAACACTAGAGATTGTTTGTAGAGTAATACTAGGAGCAAGAAGCTACTAGGGGCTCTTGGCATCGCTGCTGGGAGCAAGGACGCTACTAGGGGCTCTTGGCCGTACTACTAGGAACAAGAAGCTAATAATGATCAACTTTTGCAAAGTAGAAGCTGGTTTTATACCATCCAGCTGTGGACCGGTGTCGAGAGCGGTGTGTTGCATGGTTTTTGCACGGGTTGGACTGACTGTTGGCTAGCATTGAACAGGTGTGCTAGGGCTTGTCTAGCAATATGCAAAGCTTCGCAAAGCCAAAGCGTTTGTACTTTAGGCTTCTCGTTGCGGTAAGGAATCGTGCTAAGAATCTCTTTGAGCTGGTATCTACAAGGGCTGCCAGCTTCAAACACACCATCATGACATCCACTTGTCCCATCTACATGTACCACAAGCGCTACGAGAGCCAATGCAGCCACCGCCCTATCTACATCCATCCAAACCCAGACCACCAGACCACCAGACCGGGCCTCCACCAGCAGTTGCACCGGTGCCTGGAAGCCCAGCTGCACCGCGAAGCCCAGCGCGCCGCCCGCGCCGCCCGCGGCGAAGTCCGCCGCCGGCGCTGCGAGGCGATGCCTCGGCGTCGGTGGCGCTCGGCGGGCGCCGCTCCCCCCTCCCTACTGAATTAAGTCATTGAGGACTAGGCAAAGTTAGCTTCTAGGTAGGACACAGGACAGCTCACGCTTCTTCAAGGAAGGGGCGGGGGGAGCTTCCTTTTTTTTGCTCTCAAGCCGCATCACGGGGTCGTTCGGCAACTGCAAAGCTTCCGCTGTAGCAGTCAGGATTCCCTATGTTTTTACAACAGGGCATCAAATGGGATGCACCATGAATGTGGAGTCTCTTTGGCTCCACGCATGAAAGCTCTACATAGCATTTCAAGGGAAGCGTTATCAAGAAATGCTTCGGCACCTAGGAAGGCTCCTTTCGGAAAGGTGCGTCCGTTGCTCTTATTCCTCTTATCGAGTAACAGTGGTGCAACAACGATGTTCTTGTTCTTGCAGTACGAAATGGAAGCACGGATGATGCAAGCGTAAGCTTGTGGTGTTGACAAAACACCTGGTGGAAGGCTAAAGCGCCACCCCTGTATGAAGGCAAACACAGCCAATTCAAAGACAGAACAAGCCCTCTTTTCACCTAACCGCCAGCATAACGTGTTCGAAAAGCGCAGGAAAAGGCGAAAATTGTGCTCGGAGATAGTTTTGTTCTCACGGAACGGCACTTCAGTGTCAGCCTCATTTGTCCAGGGAAAGTTGGCTATGTCAGCGTCCCATGACCATTTGGGACACAGCTCGCGAGGTGAATACCCTGTGGAGGTCTCACACACAACTTCATTGCGAGGGGGTGCCACCTCCTCTGGTTTCTTACAAGTTCGGTTCAACTTGGATAACCAGAGCTGCCTTGCAAAAATATCTTGTTCGTGCACAACGAGGTCAGTCTTTATGTTCAAAGCAGTTCTGTGTATGCATGACTTGGCGAGGGAATCGGTCAAACGATTAAGCCGAATATCTTGTCGAGTAGAGCCAAGAGCGGCGGCCTCCTCCTCAGTTATCATCTCACTTGGTATGTGCTCAATCAAATGAGCAGGGCACCACAATAACTGCAGCGGAGATGCAACAAAGCCACGGCGAGAATGAATTAAGCCGAGTAAAAATCCCCACCAATTAGCGTGTGTCCAGCTCACTTGCACAGAATCCTGTTGGAGTAATTGTGCGAATTGCTGCACAATAGTCAGGGAATCAGTATGCACTATCAGAGGCTGGGCTGCGATGGCAAAGGCAATCAAAATGGCCCATAGCTCGGCAGTATAGCTTGAAAGGCGCCAATGTTGCACAGTACCAACTGCAATCGTTTCCTCATTTTCAGCAACCACGGAGTAAGCAGCAAGGGAAAGCCAAGGATAATGGTTGAGCTGCACCGAACCATCAGTCCACACATGCGCAACGCTAGCCACCGGTTCTCGCCATGGTGTTACCTGGATGTCCGAGGTCTTGGAGACTTTCAGCTTGCTTCGAATACTCTCCAAAGGGATCTCAGCAATACCAAGGCATTCAAAATTCGGCCCAAAATTTGTGGTGGAAAACGGCTGCCTGAGTTCCTCCGGTAGCTGAGAGCACTCATTCACAAAGTGATGCACGGATTCCTTTGGTGCATCACAAAACCGGCAGTTAGGTTTGTCTACCAAGCCAGCTGCAAAGGTTCTATCGGCTGTAGCTGTGCAACCTGTTAGTGCACTTTCCCAATGAAATAAGAAGGAAAAGCCCTGGTTCGGCACTTTGGCAATCTTCTTTTTCGCTGACAAGGTCATGGTAAGGTCTAAGAAGCCACTTGCTTGACGGACGTCCTTTCGCGGCATGGCACAAGCTGTGTGGTAGCATTTGTTGGCAGCAAAACTCTTCAACAGGCATTTGAGGTCAGAGATGGAAAACTCCATGAAGTTCACCTCCTCAGAGTCAAATACAGCGAAGCAAAAGGGAGCGGTCCAGTTGATGTCAAGAATCAGACATGCTTGGCTAAACTGTGTCAACCAAGATTGTGCGGTCAGTTGATCTTGCTGGAACAATAGCTGCCAGGTCTGTCTTGCATGCTGCGATGACTGAAGGAAGCGAACGGATTCAATAACTGTTGTCACTGCCCTGCAGAGAAAAGGATCTAGCTTGTGAACCTTGTGGATGATGCACAACAACAGATGTTTGGACCGCCACATTGGCCGATTCTGCCACAGTGCATCTGCTATGGCACACTGTAGCTTGGCAAGCTGTCTTTTGGGCAGGAAGTTCAACTGAGGTGCAAATGCAATTTGCGGCAAAACTTTGGTGGCCAGTATCTGAGCTCGTTTGTAGCTGTCGCAAGGGAGTGAGCGAATGGCCTCACAATCACGAAGGGCACCTTGTAACGTGGACAATGGGAATTGGCCAACATTCTTCTTCGTTGTTTGAACATGGGCCCCAAGGATGTTCACCACTTCAACTAGTTTCATCTGGGGAAAAGCAACGCGAAGGGCTCTTCGCTGCTCTCCATTTGTTGCGAACAGTTCACATTTCCCGGCATTGAGGAACTGGCCACACAAAGTATCCCACAATTCCGTCGCCTTGACAGCCGCCACAAGATTATCAATATTGGCTTCCCTCGTCCATAGGTATGTGTCATCGATAAAAGCACGAAAATCCACCCCTGGAATTTGTCCAACAATCCAAGTCCATATTGCCATATGGAGATTGATACAGAGAAGACTGAGGGAACATCCTTGTACAACCCCATTGGCTGTCGAGATTGGTTGTGCTCTGGTCCATTGTTTGAAAGCCAGGAAACGAGTCATTCTGGAGTACAAGGCGATGAAAGCACGCACAAATCCAACCGGCAGTCCCAATGTCAGCATTATGGCAGCGCAAAGCTTGGGCATTAGGCGGTCGAAACACTTTGACTTGTCGAGCTTGACTGCCGCAAAGTAGCCGTGGAAGCTGTGAGCGTGGTCGATCTCCATCTGAAGGGTGGAGTGGACTTCGGCCATCTGGCGACCCTTAACCCCTCCCTTCAATTGCATGGGCATCACCGTTTGCTGCCAACTCTGCAGTTGGAAAAAGCGAAGGCCCGTGTATAAGAGGGTGAAAACGGACTGGAGGGCAATCAATCTCTTCGACAATGGCAAATCACTTCCATCTTTGTTGAAGATGACCATCTTGACTTGAGTGAGAATGGTGGGGAACTCGGAATTCCCTGCTTCAATATCATTGAAAAGATCAGCCACCGGTTTGAGAGCAGAGGGTGGAAGGGCCTGTACTTCACGGGTAGCCCAACCATCCAGTCCAGCTGCTGCATCAGGGCGGCGACGAGAAGCTTGTTCCCACAGTTGCAATGCAGTAACAGGTGGCAGTACAATTTGCTGACCTTTATCATGGATGTAGGGCCAGACCTGCTTTAGTACCTGCATTTCATGCTGATGTGAAGCATTCACAGAAAATACACCGTCCCATTTCTCTGCAATGTGGTCCATAGCCTTTTGCGGGTCATAGATGATGTTGCCGAGATCATCCTCAACGAGATTGGGAGGAACTATACGTCTCTTCCTTTTCAAGTACTGGTAGACAATCTTGCCGATAGAGAGCGAGGAGGTGGCCATCTTCATGGCTTCACGCCATTTTTTAATTGCCCCCAACTTCATCTGCTTGAGTTCAGCGTTGATTGCCACCAAAGTAACTTCAATCAAATGCTGCAGATCATGTTGAAAAATCTGAGCCACCGAGAGAGGAATGACTCTTGCCTCCTTCAGTCTACGCAGGACACGACGTTGTGTGTAGAAGAAGGTGCGAGCATCACCCTGTCCAGTGGTTGATCTTGCGAATCTGTACGCCAATTCACGTAGGGATCTCAGACAGGCTTGAAGAAGGAGGAGAAGTGGCGAGGCAGGATTCCCGGCACCTTCTTGGGCAGCACAGTAGCTGAGCTTGCGGAATTTGGGTAGCTGGCCTCTTTGTCGTGGGCCTTTAGACCATTGTGCTCCATTGACAAGCAGGAGCTTGATTGCATACTCGTTGAAAATCTCCCACTTTCTATCCGGATTGGTGGCAGTCTCAAAATCGAGCTGGTATGGCCGCCAGAGCTGTTCTCCAAGTAAATTCACAGGGCAGGCAGGATCTGTAGTATCGGCGGTCACAACATGTTCGAGATCTAGCTTGGCAAAGTTCTGCAGTACCGTTCCAATTTGTTGTGTTCGTGACCAAGCAAAGTGTGCTTGTACTGGCCGGTGCTGACGATCCGGAAAGTCTAAGATCTCAATTTTCACCAATGCAGTGAGAGCTGTCCTGTTCATGAGTATGCCGTCAATAGATGACTGTCCCTCACCTTCTTCAGTGGCAGCATGTTGGAAGAAGGTTGGAGAACGGAAAAGCCCACCTGCCTCGTCAGTCTGGAGAAGGGGGTCAGACCACCCCCAATTGTCAAGGGCAAGTTGGACTGCAGGGTACATGCCTGGCTCCATCTGGAAATCTCCCGCTATGACAATAGGAATGTCTCCAAATTGCGCAGCAACTGTGAAAAGTTGATGGAGCATCTCGTTATTTCTTTCAAACTTAGCCCTTTCAGAAGCCGCATTCGCAATTGCGTAGAAGTTGAAAGCCAAGAGCTTGACCCCGCTGGAGACCTGGTGCCAAGTGGCAGTAACTCGTGCGGTACATCGTAGAAGCTCCCAAGAGCCAGACAGGTCCTGATGGTCATGGAAAATTTGTGTGAATTCCTTGCGGGCACAAGTAGCTGTACCCCCGGAGGGGATTCTGAACGTCCCATTGCTGGCCCGGAGCTTCTGCAATGGTTGAGAGCAGTAAAGCTCAAACTGACAAACCGCAGCTTTACGTTTGGCATCCAGCATGTTGGACTCCGCAATTCTAGCTTCTTGGAGGAGGAAGGCATCAGCATCCCATTGTAAGCAACTTGCATTTGTTGCAAAAGAGTCAACATTGGCGGAGATCATAGACCAGGGGGGGTCCTTCGCCCGGGAAACCCAGTGTTTTGTCAAACCAGGCCATCTGCCAAAATGGCACTCTTCCAGGATGAGGACTGCTGGCCAAAGATTGGCATTCATA